GTTATCTTTTAATCATTTTTTATTTTATCTAAAATCTTCACGACGCGTCGCAATTTATTTGGTAATATTATGTACAACCCCAACTACAACTACATATACATACAAACATATATATGTATATACATACTTCATCTATATAAATAAGATTTTTTTACCTTAAATTCCCAATTTAAATTCTACAATTTTTACGCACATATATGCAAACTATATTCGCTCTAAATTTGACCTAATTATACCCCAAACTTAACCCTTCCATTTACACACACATACGAGTGTATGTATGGATGTGTGCGTATAATTAATCGGGTACTTACCGTTTAGTCGAAGACAACTGGATCGCTCATCATTCTTTGGATGAACTCTGCATGGTGCACACGTTGTGTAAACATAATATTGTGTTTGTTGTTGTTGTTACAGGCATTTTACAAACGTGTACGTGTATATATGTATTTCACGCAAGAATTGTGCAATTGTGTGCGCAAACAATCATTCACATTCGTAGGTGGGCGAGCGCGTGTTTGTGCATTTATGTGTATATGATTGTAAAACAAAGTGAAAGTGCGTCATACACATACGTACATATATGGAGAGGTGAGGTAGTGCATTATTATTATTATTATAATTTTTTTTTTTTTTTTTTTTTTTTTTTTTTTTTTTTTTTTTTTCCACAGTGCGTTGGGGTTTATTTTTGGATTTCGACATTCGACGGGCACATATATATAAGTCGACATAGAAGGAGAATACATGTGAAAAATAAAATCAAATTTAATACAAATATGTATATGCAGAGACAACATATGGAATAAGTACATATATAAATAAATACACAGATTATGTATTTTTATTGGTGAAGGTGAGAAGGTGCGAAATTCAGCATACATACATACATATGTATGTTGATGAATGACAACAAAAATGATTTTTGAATTTTAAAAATAAGCACTACACATAAATATATGGTACATTATATGTATATGAGTTAGATGAAATTAGAAGAATAATATTTTGCTGCTACTTACGGGAGTATGGAATCATGCCTTCATCATCTTCGGGGTCCATGCAATCGGCGAACAGTGTCTCAACTTGTTCATCATCCAATTGCTCACCTGTGAGTTGAAGAATAAAATGTAAATGGTTAAAATATGACTGAAATAACAGTCCAGGGAGCTGTCTAAAGATATGATCTTGGCATGCAATGAAGTGTTAAATTTTCTTTCTTTCAAGAAAACTCAACTAAAACTCCAATTGGTTCACTTCCACGTCTTGTTTCCCTATAGCTACAATTCAATTGCTGAATGCCAATCATACTTACCAAGTGACAGGAGGGCGTGTTGCAATTCAGCCAACAGCATTGTGCCGTCCTCGGCTTTGTCGTACAATTTCAAACATTCAATGAAATCTTCGTAGCAACCTTGGTCCTTCTCCTTCTTAACTTGTGAGTAGATGGGGAGGAATTCTTCGAAGGTGATTTTCTTCTCATTGCGCTTCTTGGTGCCGCCCAATTTCTCAATCAACGCCAAGGTTGGGTTCAAGTTGAGAGCACGGAGGGCATCACCTAGATCGACGGCATCAATGCCCACGCCGGGAGAGCCCATGATTTCGAAAACGAATTCGACATCTACAAAAAACAACGAAAAATTATTAATATTTGATTTTTTTGAGGAGAAATGAAGTTATTTATTGATAAAAGGGGCATAAAATTTATTGGAAATTTTAAATTATTTTGTCCAGGTTACAACAGCATTTATTATATTATATTGCAAAACACTTTTTTGATTAGAGTGCAACTTCATATCAAGCTTTCATAAAGCTTTCATAGAGCTTTCATAAAGCTTTTACTTTCGATGTTTTATCGTTATATCACTATCTTAAGTTATATTATGAAAGCCAACAGGATTGCAATATCTAGTTTGGATTTCCAGTTCAATATTCTTCTGGTTTATTATATCTTCTATTTCTTTTGTTTATATAAGTCACTTCATCTCGACTAAAAATTATGCAAATTCACCAGAATTCAAAAAGCTACGCAACTATGTTAAAGTAACGGTACTGTAATGAATTTATTTATTTTTACTTTTAATTGAGAAAGAGCACCTTTATAGTCAGTTTCAATGCTAAGGTGATTTACAATGACATCAAAAATGGTAGTATATCTGTAAACAAACATATTCATCGATATGATTTGCATGAGGGTAATCCTGCCCCAAAAGAATTTCTGCCAATATCATGGAAAAACTTTTAGCTGAGATTAGGTAACAATACGTTCGACTTTTCTGAGGATTTCAGAGAAATTTCAAGATATTTAAAAAACATGCTCACAAATTATGGAAGGAAATTATAGATTATATGAGGATTGCACCGCGACCTGAGGTCTATTTTGTCCTCTGCAGTTTATTTACTTAAGAAGTATATAAGCATTTTAGCCTCAGTGCGATAACGGTTTATTTTATGAAAAAAAATTTTTTTTGAAAAACAAAAACAGAAATATTGCATACCCCAATTTCAACTAACTAGACGTTCTTGTCCTCTTACCCTTAAAATATATATATATATATATATATGCATTCATCCATAAAACCTACATATTTCATATGAGCTTCCTTCTTCACGCTAATCAACGAACTTGATCCGTAGATTCAAGACCAACAAAAAAAGATATTTATGACACATGCCATATAAGCAGCGCACCCCCAACTAATGTCTTTCATTAGTATGCATTTTGACAGCGCATAGCTAGAGGAATTTCGCGCAGTGTATATAAGCGTGTCGTGAGAAAGAAATCTGACACCCGAGCGTACGAATAGTTGAGCACACGATCGGTTGTATGGACGAGATAGCGCACAGAACACGCATGCGATTTTTACAGAGTATATGTCGGTGATTTGTTTGTGTGTGTGTTTATTAACATACATATAAACACCTTTGAGTATGTGAGGTATGCGGAATGAAAACTTAAAGCAAGATTTTTCCCAAAATTAGAAATGCGTTCGGTGTGCCGTTGTTCGGCCAGCGCCTATTCGTACTAGTCGTGTTTACGCATTTACCGTTAGTCTGTGCGCACACATATTAACTTTTTTTAATTATTTCAACATACACATACATTCAATTGTATACTTGAATTGGTCACAACATCGCCGCGACTTTTTTGATCATATACTATAGTATATATATATTTCTGCGCTCAGTCCTTCATTTCTAGTTTATATATTTTCTCTCATTGTTTTATTTTCGTTCACATATTTGCATTTATTTTTATAATGCCAACAACAGTTGCGCAGTTAGTTTAAGCACATTTTTTAGCATATTTATTTTTAAATTTTTCAATTTTTTTTTCAACTTTTTCTCTACGAAAACTTTGGTTTTGAACAAATGAGATTTTTTTTGTAACTAGCGGCATTCAGCCGTACGTTAAAAATAGCACGCAAACGATTGTAAAATTTTTCGTTTCAATTCCATTTCCATTTCGTTTCGCTTCGTTTATGCCGTTATGTAGACTTTTAATAGGCACCTTAGACGCTGAAATACGTAGGTGTTGCGTTAAAATGGCAGCGTTTGCCATTAGTGGCTATTACCGTTATGTACCGTTGTAACTATATGATTTTGTAGTCTGCGGTGTATCCAAAAAGCAACAAAAATTGCCTAGCGGTGCACTGGTATTCCAAAATTCTGCGTCTGCGTTGCTCTTTTTTGAAAATTATGCCTAACCTCGGCCACCTTTTAAAAGTATCGTTAACACTTTTTACCGTTATGTAAGTATATGCTTCGTGGTTATTTGGTTATGTTATGTTTAGAGACTTTTCATGAATTAACACCAGAAATGTTGTTAAAAAAAAGTTAGTTGTAAAAATTACTTTGATTTTGTTTTAATAATCTTCTAATATATATTTAATTGTCCTTGCAGACGCTTGTATAATCATTTTCCAGTAATTTTTAGACCACTTTTGTTTTTTTAATTAACAACTTGTATGCGAACTTACTTTCAATATCACGTTTTGGTAAATCGGCCTAGAATTAGAAGAAATTAAAATATTTTTATTACTTTTTAGTTGTTGTATAAAATATTATTTTACTAAAAACGCAAATTTTACATTTGTTCCAACTTTTTAAAGGTTATGTAGGAACAAACGCTTATTATTTTTGTTCTAATTGTGGCGATCCTCAAGTTAGAGCAGCAGTCACTCACCATTTTGTTTGTTGGATGAGAAAAAATCAACTAACCCGTGGATGAGCTCTGTCTCGACTGAACGTTTCTCGTCTACAGCACGCGTGTTAGGTACTTTCCTGTCGCTTGACCAGCCAAAAAGTTTTTCACAATTTTCCCGTTACATATACGAACGTGCGGTAGCCGAAGCCGATCGTGCTCACTCAGCTGCCGTTGTGTGCGTAAAATCGCTGGGTAAAGCAGGTAATTCGGTTGATGGGCGGGTAAACGGCTGTTTGAAGTGAGCACACACGCACACATACACTTATAAGCGCACACAAGCCTACATACTTCTACTTGCTAATGCAAATGGGAGCCACATATGTATTTGTGTAAGCTTAGCATGGCTGCGCTATTTCGCATATTGGTTGCTGTTCAGTGTTTGCTCATAAAAATTACTTTCCTCTAAGAAAATTTTTTTCGCCACAAAATATTTTATGTTTCGTGTGCCTATATGAGCATGCAAAACAATTCATTTTATTTTTTTGTAAAATCACGCACACATGCTTACTCATTGAGATGCTCACTTCGTGGTGTTATGGTTGTTGTTGTTATTTGGCAAGGGCGGCAAAGCCTACAGGTGATTTACTTGTTGAGTTGGCCGCCACAAAATACGCCAAACAATAGCAATAGCAGCAACGAAAACTACAAAATAGTAGCCACCAGCAGCTCGCGTCTCTGTCACCTACGTTCTACGGCATACTCAGTGGTCGTTGCTATTTTTACTCGGATGCGCATAGGAAACTACAAGCAATACATACATAAATATATGTACAACAGTAATAATCGCCAACCGTTGCCGGCCTTAGTGTTGAATATCATTGGATATTTGCCTGTTCAGATAGCTGTGTGCGAATGTGTTCTAGTTATGTATATATGTATGCATGAGCAGCGCCTGGTATTTTATTAAAACAACGCAACTAATCCCGACTACTAACTCTATATGAATATAAGCATATGCTTGTATACAATCTAATCAATAAGCATAATTTTCCAACCGCATTAGTTGGTAGCCAAATATTTTTTGCCTATTGACCCTGATCACTTCGCTGCTTTCAACAGTTTCCTCATGTCTCTGCATATTCTGTGTGCGTTGATGGTTTCCTAATATTTTCCTATATGTATACCATACATACAAGCAAACAGTATTTTGGTGAACTGCAAATATACCTAAATACATACACATGTGTATGTTATACCTGCGTAGATACATACAAACGTATAAAAAAATATATATAAAATTGGTCAACTTCACCACCTTTCCGGCACATAAGTATGTCTGCATGTTGTTCGCAATGTGTCGAGTGAAAAATTCCGTTGTTCCTCTTACATACAAAAGTCTAACTGTATATGCTCCCTGCAGTGTGCTTATATTTGAATGTAATTTGTTTGTATGTATTAGTGTGCGAGAGCATCAATTGGTTTATGCCGCCACGCAACATGTTTTTGGTTTCACTATTTTTACCAGCGATGACACAGAAATTCTTTTCATTTATTATCTTATTTTGTGACTTTGGGTGTTTCGCCGTATTATTTGCAAATAAAATACATACATAAATACCGCATTATGTATTGGCAAGACAGATAATAGTTTCGTCATAGTAGAGCTTACATATCGATCTGCTATAATTAATTATATTTTATTTGACATGCTCACTTACTGCGTGTTAACAGAAAACTGTTTCATTGCCTCGCCGAGGTGGAAAAAACATATTTTACAATTTTAATGGGAGAAAATTGTTATTCATTTATTTTTAAAATAAACAAAGCTGCTCCAGACACATTATATTTGTTGAAAATATAGGAAACATTTGAAACTATTTGATAATAAGAAACGTATTTAGATAGCTTTAAAGTTTCTTTCAACACCAATTTAATCAAAAATATATTTTTTCACTAAACTAAAGAATATATTTTTCTTTCATTTTGTATTGAAATCGTTTCATTCAAAAATTTTGGATTAAAAATTAGATTTATATTTTTTAATTCCGATGTTGAGATTAAAGATTTCATTTTAATTTCTTAATTCAAGATGTTTGTGATTCAAATTTGAAAATTCAGATTAGTATTTTTTGATTTGAATGAAGTTAGCAAACGAAAACCGAATAATTGTTAATCCTAAAACAAATTTAAATTTTTCTAAAACTTAATTATATTATTGGGATTACAATTTTTCACGTTCATATTTTAATCCGGTAGTTTGGGATAACAAAATTATTAATTGCAATTTATACTCCCCGGAAAATTGATATTTCAAAAAAATGTAATATGAGCGCGATCTGTCAACCAGTTTTTTTTTTTACAGCAGCTGCTTAATTCGGTATACCCGTATGTAAAACAAAGAATTTGTTTCAAATTTTGTATTTTTAACCAACAAACAAACCAATCTTCATTTTTTTGCTTGTTTTTTTGGTGCTTCATGAATTTTTCCGGAGGGACAGATGGTCAATAAGGAGTTATATTTCGCCGTAGTGAGGCGTTTGTATGAGAACATACGTCGAAAATGACCGCAATTGTGAAAGAACAATTCATGGATTTTAAACGACAATAATGCAGCATCACTTCGAGCCACGATTGTGAAAAAAACGCAATAAATACCATCGTTCAAACTCGGTATTCACCAGATTTGGCTGATTCTTCTAAACTGAAAACTTTTTTTTCTAAATTAAAATTGTCGCTCCGTGGAACCCGTTTCCATTCCATCGAAAAGATAAAACAAAATTTTCTTTATGCTCTTTCTTATGAAAAGTGTTTTGAGGACTACAAAAATCATTGGCGCAAGTGTATTGCATCTGTTGGGGATTACTTTGAAGGCGACAAAATAGTATTGATGAATAATTAAATATTTTGCGTTTTATTTACAATTTTCGGTGATTCTTTTGTCACAATGTACACATGTGAATACACGCTAAGAATTTTTTAGTCAAAAGACAAATATTTTTCGAGAAATATTTGAATCCTTTCGAGTAATCATTTCAGCAAATTCGATTAACGCTGTTTCGAGAAAAACGCGTTCAAAGATTAACTGTTATCACTAATTGAGCTGAGTGGCTACACTTAAGAAGTACCTAAAAATTTATTTGAAATATTAATTTAAATTTTACTATGAGTTCCGATAATTCAAAATTTTTCTAACATTAACTCTCAGACAGTTGTCTTAATCATGTTACTATAAAGAAACGGTAAACGTAGCGTTTTATCTTCTCTTTAAAACTTAAATCATTAGAGTCTGGTGACAAAAATGATAATATTTAATATACATATGTATAATATATAATAATGCCGGGGCGTATGAGCAACATAATATAGCCTATTAATACTTAATAATCGTCCATAAATTTAATTCTCTCTTGAATGAAATCGTATTTTCATTTAAGGGGCTACTTTATCTACATATTTAAATAACTTTTCTAAAATTGGAACAGCTGTCTCTTATCATTGAACTGACATGACGTATGAGTAATATGTGTAACGCGTATATTACTCATACGCCCCTCCCAATTATGTTTGCATGTTTTTATGTTTATGATCTTGAGCTCCAGTGATAGCTAAAGGGCGATAACCAAACATATTTATCATAAAGCTGATGATGGTAAAAATGTTTATCCGGAAAATATGTGTCAGCTATCGAAATATTTTTTCATTAATCTGAAGCAAACTTTTTCGAGTATTATAACTATCATTTGGTACTGAAACGAGATTGTTAGAAAAGCTGGTCCCAAAAACTTTTTATATACTGTTTACACCACACAACAAATATGAAGGAAAAGATTGTGACTGATATGCTTTGACGTCTGTGAGGTATTTGAGATTATAAATTTGAGTTCAAAAATGTTCAAAAATGTACGTAAACAGCTATTTTTGTCATTTTGTTAAATGGTGTTGATTATACCCCTATAACCCACTTATATTGCTAATCATGTATACGTTATTTTAGAATACATCCTACCAGATTATCTGCTTCTACTTCCATCCCATTCGATTTTGCAATTGTATATGCGCAACATATAGGGGTCATTAACTGATAATGCCGGCGAAAGCAGCTCATCCACTTGTTGCCCTCTACCAGCATCCCAACTTATCAATGGGCTCGATGGCTGTAAGTACGCAAACTCAGGAATTTCACTTATCTCTTTAGTGCTCTTTTATTTTGATTTCACTTTTATTGTCACTTCTTTTGTTGAAGGCTTTCTAAACAACCTCAATGGCCTCTTTGATGTGCCGAAACAACTACATACGTATAATTTTAGAAGTTATTCAACCCGATGCTGAACAACAAGTGCGGCTTGGCAATGTGAAAATCAGCTGTTTTTTGTTTACATTAAACATCTGAACTGGACCAGAAGTGCGCAGGCCTCCCGTTGTGCCGAAGTTTGTAAACAAAGAGTATTTTTAAGTTGCTAAATTCACCCCTAAATTATATAAGTTAAATGTTGTAAATGTAAACAGTTACAAGTATATTATTTGTAGATATAATCTAATCTGTCTTTACTACTCCAACTAATGTTATTACTTAAACCCTTCTGTGCACTGTTACACTGATTTCATGCTTTCATATGAAATCACAATTATGACAGTTGTATATTATTTAGAACACCGTTATCTCCCACGTCGCTTACATGAATTGTATCGAGGACAATAAGCCGATAAGAGCGCACAACAACTTAATGCCGTGAGGCTTCATTTTGTATAGGTACTTGTAGCTCCCTCAAACCCATCGGTTATACGCAGTGTTTACCGTAATCGCTTAATGAGTGAATTGTTTTCCAGTAGCTTCATTACGTTATCGGTGAAATGGCGAGCAAATGCAAACAGTTAAGAGTTAAGGTCCACCCTCTACTCATCCTGCACTCACCATTGACCCACTTTTCTCAGCTGTGCTGCTTGTGGCCCAACGACATTCAACCCTCTCGACCTGCTCGGTTGGTGGAGCCGGTGACATTCGGCAGTGAAACGATTTGTGCATGTTTATACACTTAACAAGCAAACGAGGACGACAAAGCGTTGATTGTGTGTGTATGTGCTGCTCGAGTTAGAGTATGCGCGTGTGTAATGAGTGGTGGCATGCTGCTTGTTATCGCTGATAAAATATGTGTGTCGTTCAAAATACAGGGTGGAAAGTAGATACACATTAAAATATTTTTACGAAAAAATATTGAAGATACAAATTTTCTGCAAAAATTTCCAAATTTTAAAATAAAATGTTTTTAGGAAAAAGTTAAAAATTTTTTGATAAACTTTTTTTTATTTTTTTAATTTATTAATACTTTCAGTAATATCCAATATATAAAAATAGTAAATAAAGGCCAAAAAATAATTTTTAGCATTTTTAAAAATTTTGAGATGAAAAAAAATAATAAATTTTCTTCTTCATAAATATTGTCAATTATTTGCTTTGGAAAGATTTTCGAAAAAATTCCGAATTTTTTTTTTAAAAACTTATTAACTTATACAATAAATACATACATACACAATACGTACATAAATACATATAAAATACAGAAAATATTTTTTTTGACATTTTTAAAAATTTATTTTGAAAAATTTTATAAAGTCAAATTGAAAGTTTACTAAACATTTTTCGAAATTTTTGTAAGCATTTAAATAAAAAAAGGTTTTTAGGAAATTATATTATCTCTAATAATTTTTTTTATAAAATACTTTGCATTCCTTTTATTAGAAAATAATATAAAAAACATTAATAAATATTTGAAGGACAATATATACATATATATATATATATATTTTAACATTTTGTAACCACTTAGGATTAAAAACAACTTTCTTTATTTTTTCATTATTACTATTTATTTTATTTCTCGTTTTTTTTTTTTTTTTTTGTTTTGTATTTTTTGAGCTAACAGCAGGAATAAATTAGAGCTCAATATGCTTATTGTTACCTTCACTTGTTACTATGATATCAAATTTATTGATTTCATTATTTATTAGAAAGAATGTATAGAAGAAGAAAAAAATATTTTTATTTTTAAGCATCATTTAATAAAAATTATTATTAGTTTGAACAAAAATTCAAAGAATTAATATTTTATATGTATTCATTACTATTAGTAAAAGCTCTTTCGTGAAGAATTTTTCATTTCACAGATAAATTGATAATTTATTCAAAAGCATGACACCTAAATGTCTTCAAAAAGTATAATTTTAATACAATATCTTAAGTATAATAATATATTTAAATTGAGAATTTCTTAACCTGGTATTTAGTAGTCACAACTGAGGTGATGATGATTCTATACGTATCAAGCCACATTTTTTGTTGAAACATTGAATTCTTAATCTAATAACCAAAATTTCAAACACATCGTACAACTTATAATCGAAGTGTACAGAAAAATGCTATACATTTTTGCAATTTTCAATTAGAATTTATTGTCATTAATTTTCTTCCTCAAAATTTATCGCAGAGATTATGAATATCCTAAATACATGCGTATACAAGATATATCATTATAGTATTATGTTTACAAAAGCGAAAAAATCGCACAATTGGCAGAAAGCCAAATTCAAGTTCAAAATAAAAATTTGCGAAATAATAACAATTCGTTAAGTATTTCATAATAGTATTTACATGATTGTTATTATGGGCACTTGGGTGTAGAGGTATTTTGCTTTTAAAACACAAGCATGCCCAGCTATTTTCTTATTATGTATATAAGTATGTGCGATACATCATCTTAGATAGCTATGGGAATCAGAAGTTGAAACACAAATAAGCAAATATTATGAAATACATAAAATTTTTTTAAAAAATATAAGCATTTATGGTTTTGTGCTTTACACATTATATCGCTTAAATGATTAAATATTAAGTGATACTCAATTTTATTTAAAATTTTAAAAATTTGTAAGTGCATTTTCGAAGTCTTCTTAATTATTATTCAATTTATTTATATATTTAGACGACGATGAAAGTGTGGTTAAAATGGAAAGAAGATATAATCAATTTATTTATATATTTATATTTACATGTAATTTTTTCAAGAAAATGTATTTTAATTAATTACACATGTCTGCCAAAGCAAAGAATTAGAACAATAATTATTTTTCCGATTTTCCACTTAAATCTATTTTCATTATTTAAATATATTCTCCTTAATGTAATGTGGTTACATTTCAAATTGACAAAACTAATGTATTCTTGACCACAACATTGTTTTTCCAAGACCTAAATATTATTCAAGGCATTACAACTCCCTTTTATGTTATTTTATAATTTTAAAAATTGTCTCTCGTTCGAACGAAACTGAGCAGTAAATACCACCATCAGTCAAAATCAGTCTTTAAAAAATAGAAAATCATCATCGATTTTTCATATTTCAATAGTTTATACCTTTAAATAACGTACTGAAATTTGATCGAAATAGTTTTTGGATTAAAGCCGTATAAAGGCCAGTTAAAATAGTTTATGTTTAAACGCGTTTTTCTCGAGCCTCTTAAAGTCCACTGAACAAGCGGACGGATACAAGTTAGTATACCATTTTTCGGAGCTACTGGAATAAACTGCTGTCATCTGTTCTCCATAGCAAAACCTAACCTTTTTATGGAGGTTAGAGAAAGGGATAAACCAATTACAGTGAAATTTATAAGAACTAGACACACGCCATCGCAGTGTTTTTGCCCGGGTAAGGGAGCCGTCCATATATGGGGACGTGCCCAAAACATGTGTTTAAAATGCAACTCAGAACTGTAATTCCATTGAACTAATTTATGCGAGCCAATGTCAACTTGAAATGTATGAATGATAATTATCCAATTACATTTTTTACAAAATTTATTAAGCTAATTATTTTCAAAATTTCTGTATTAACTTTTTTCTACTGCTGCTAATTTTGTTTAAAGAATTTGATTGGTGAGACAGATATCAAATAACATGTATCCTCAGCAGGTTCTGAAGTTACGAATTAAATTTGTAACAGTGCTTTTCAATTCTCATTTTCTGTGAAATTTATCAAAGTAATGTATATATATATTTTGTATACCATCAGAATATATATATTGTACTTAGATTTCAATTAAGAAAAACCTTACAAATTTTTTTATTTCAAATTTTTACGTGAGAACACTATTTGATTGATTACAGGCTTTTTTCGATTTTAAATCTCAACAAGGCTTCTTAATATTTTTAATAAAAAATACAGTGGGTTTTGCACATAACAAGGTAAATTTACAGCAAATTTCGAAAAATAAAATAAATTTTCTACAATATAAAAATAAAAATAAAACACCTTGCTCTTTTGAATTTTTTTACATAAATTTTAAAGTTATGTAAAAAAAGTATACAAGCAATGGTTGTAGATAGACTCGTAGTTTTGCCGGGAATCGGGATAAGCTGTTATTAACCTTTAAAAATTCATTAAAGCCCCTCTGTTGCTCTTGTGTATCTAGACTCATCAAGGTGGTAAGATTCAGATAAGTTGTATTCGAGGTCATCCGATGATAAGCCCAGGAAATATGCTGTTTCGACGGGATCGGTGTATAGGAAGAGAGGTGTCAGAGGTTAGCCGAGCATGCAAAGAGGTGATTAGAGTCATGCCTGGACTCGTGGCATGCCAGACATATATTTCGTGTGTGGGGGTCTGTTCTGGATATGGGGGAGATTCAATAGTATCCAGAACTAAGCTGCGCTTACCACGCTCGTCTCCTTCGTATTCTTAACCTCAGATCATCACCATTCAAAGAACGGACAGCTGGATGTAGCACATTTCTTTCATCATGCTGATTATTTCACATGAACTGTCTTTAAGGCAACAAAAAGTGTTGATGAACTTTTGGTTATATTTATAAATTTTCCTACTTACTACCTTGTTCCAATAAATCATTAGAAAATTTAAAATAATTTTAAAAATATTTCGAAAATTAATAGAATCATTTTAATTGCAGTGCTGCTATTAGTAATCAAATAATGTTCAAATAAATTAATTTAATTTAGTCCTCTTCATAAAGCAAAATGTATTCGTTGGCATCATTTTTATAATAACATAATAAAGAGCTAGTAAACTGCTTATTATTCAACGCAAACACTTTCAGCCGCACTTAGCACGCATTTCACATGCGCATCCTGTATTTACCCCGCAGATGTCCTAAATTCGCGTAAACGCACTCGTCACTTGTCGTACTCTTCCTGATAGAAATAACAGTTAGTCGCATCCGAACCACCAAACTGTCAACATTCAAATCACGGTAAATACAACAGCAACTCTCCTTGTGCTGTGCAAAAACCAAAAAAAAAGTACAAGTGAAAAATTTGCGCAGCAATTGAAGCATTTAGCGCTGCAATCAAATAGCATTTCGCTAGAAAATTTACACAATTCAAAGAAGCAATTAAGTTAACGCATTCAACGAAGTGCAAATTGCAAAAATAACGAAAATTCAAGTGAACAAATTGTAGTGAAGCCAAACCCATTTTTCCTTGCTGGCGTTTTAAGTGCTTTGTGGGTGCGCCACAGCACAAGTTCAATTAAATCGACGACAAGCGATAACGGTTTTGTGCGCTCGACGGCTAGATAACGGTGATGAAGTGCGATTTAATTGGAATTTAGTGAAAATTACTTGTGATTATGTAATAAGTGAAAATTTTCACCGAAAAATATATGAGAAAAAATTTTCATCTCACCACAGCGACATCTAGGCAGGGATACTGAATTTTGTCTGTATACGCGGAGCACCCGTCGACGAGATGCGGAGTCTGCGTCCAACTTAAAAGTGGAGCAAACGCTGTGCAACAACAAAGCGAACAGCTGATTAACATTAGCACACAGCTGGTGAAGTGTTTTTATCAATGAAAGGCAGGCATACATACCCAAATGTATAAAGACTTACAGTTAGCTTGCACTGGGGGTTGCAATTACAGCTGTCTAGCTGTAAACATAAACAAACGCGAAGCGTTTATTGCAAAGGGGGCAAGGAGGCAAGAGCGCCACCAGACACTTGCAATTATGAGCGTTTTGTTATGAATATTTCTGAGTTGAGTCGGCGCACGCGAACACCTGTTGCCAACCGGTGATTTACGAGCGCCATTCAAATGAAACCCCTCAAACCCAAAGCACAAAAAACACTAGAGTACCCTTTAGGGCATTTTCATGCTTGTGGATGTGTATACGTATGTATAGATGTGTGTGTAGAAGCAACAGTTGTTACAGACTTTGGCCTCTATTTCTAAACTTCTGTGGCGCTGGTGGCAGCAAGGGGGCTTGGGTTTTGTTTCATTTATATGCAAATATTTCCAGTCAAGTGCTTTCACTTCACATTTCTTGCTCATTCACAGCTGCTTGTAATATGCCGCTGAGCGCCCCTAACGCTAGACAACCATAAAAGTCACTGTTGCCGCGGAACAGTGCGTTAAGTGATGCCGCAAAATGGTCACCAAAACTACAACAAACAACAATTTACATATGAATAATAACGAGGAAAATGATATCGATCAGGATGATGGCATGCAGGATCTGGGTTTGCCAGTATCATTGCAGACCTTCCTCTGGCGTCAGATTGCACCTTTCATAAGGCCGAAATTGGGCAAATTGCATGAGGCTAGTTGCATGGTGAGTTTAGCTACAGCAAACCTTTGTTATGTACTAAATTACCAAAAAACAACAACAAAACCAAATACATGTTAAGTGTAAAAGAAGTATATCATATAAATGGTATATAAATGTGGCAATATAAGTGGCAACGCCAAACAATAATTCCACTAAATGTTTAAGTGATGACGCTAACGGTATAAGCGGCAAAGCTAGTAAAAGAAAATGTATATAGAGAAAAATAAATAACTATAAATAAAACCAAAAACAAATAAAAAAAATAAAATAACATATTATAAAATAAAATGAAT